GCCGAGGCTGGTCTCAAACTGCAATTGTCCTATCTTCACCCACCAAGTGTCTGGGATTCTGACAGGTGTGTGCTACCACGATCAGTCCCAAGGCACCAAAGTAAGACTCATCAACCCTAAATCTCCTGTCATATGACGGATGGGTTTGTTGTTTTGCTTAATCTGCTTATCATAAGTAAAAAGGTTAGTGACATTGTTGCTCCAGAGACAGACAGGCTGCCTAACGATGGGCACATACTGTCTATGAGAGGTGCGTCATTGGGTGGCTTCATGGTTGTGTACACATCGTAGAGTGACTTACAGAGAGCTGGGTGGCCTAGGTCGGTCAGTGAGCAAGGCCTCTTAATGCAGTTGAGGGTGCAGAGGAACGAGACTGCTGTCAGTTTGACTTGGCATACTGCTTTACAGTCAGCTTTTTTATAAGTGGAAGGAAGGAATACATGCTAAAATAAAGATAAAAAGTGTAGTCTAGTGGCCTGGATATGGTGGTGCTGTCTATAATCTCAACTACTCAGGGGGCAGAGGTAGGAGGATCGTGGTTTGAGGCCAGCCTGGGCAAAGCTAGCTCAAAACCCTAGCTCAAAAACAAAATGTAAAAGCAGAAGGACCAGGACTGTGGCTGTGGCTCAGTGGTAGAGTACTGGCCTAGCAAATGGGAGGCTCTGAGTTCAATCCCCAGTACAGCCAAAAAAAAAAAAAAATACACACATATATATGTATGTATATATAGTACAGTAAATGCATAAACAGATAATATAGCCATTTCCTGTCCCTCTCAAGTGCTGTGTACTGCACCTAATCCCATGTGTCAAACTTTTATGACTGACAGCGGTGTCTATTCAAGCCAGCGTCACAGCACGTGAGTAATATGTTGTATTAGGATGATGGTATGGTGACTGTGACATCACTGGACAATAGGACTTTTTCATCTCCATGCAAACTGTTGTACCTGTGGTCTGTCACTGGCAAAACTGTCCTTACTCTGCACATGACTGTCCGCCAGACTCTGTGGAAGCTTTAGTTAATAGTAAAGGGCACACGGTATTTATGTAGGATTGGTCCGTGTTTTTAAAAGAACGTATAATAAACCAGGCATGGTGGCACACTCCTGTAGCCCTGGCTAGATACTCGGGGGGCAACATGTGAGACCCTAAAAAACCCCAAACAAGTGCATAGGTATTCCCAAGCTGGAACTTGACGGTAATGCCACAGAGCCTCTGATCTCTGTAAAGTCTCTTCGCAGGTGATACCGTCCTGAAGACAGGTTGTGCTGCCTGGATTGAAGGGTTCCCTTACACACATCCCACTCTGGTGAGCATATCTGTCTGTGCTCATTCACGGAGGCTGAGTCGTCCCCTCAGCTCAAAGGACAATTTGAGACTTGTCCGTCTGACTTGAGTTAGCAGAGTCGGTTAGTTGCTATTCATGAGGTCTGATTTCTCTTCAGGGGAGTAGTGATCAAAGGCACACCCTAAGCCTAAATGTTTTACAACAGACTCCGAGATAGTCTCAGTTGGCCCTTCTTCCTAGTTTTCATCAAAGCAAAAGATGACATTTGTCATCTGCATTTCAAAGTGCTTGTCACCTGTTAGATTTAGAATCCCCTGAACAAGTCCATGCCAGTAAGGTCTGTGGAGCCCTTCCCAAAAAGCTGTCCCTGCCAGGGCAGGCCCATTTCTAGGTGAGTGGTGGGACAGCCAAATCTGTTCCCACTGCTCACAACAATCTGGGTCACATGGGACCAGAAGTTGTCCTAAAAGGACCTCGACTGCCCTCCAGCCCCTCTAATGTGCCGTGGGTGCCACCATGCAGCTCCAGTCTTCCCCCAGTGACTCACACAGCTGTCACCAGACGCCATCAGCTCTGCTTGATTTTCCTCCATCTCCTCAAAGAGCTCTGTGGACCCCAAGACATGGCCATGGCTGAGGGACCAGGAGTGCGGGGTAGCTGTCTGCACGCACACATGTGGCAGGTATGGCACACCTATCTGCCAGACCAGCAGGCCTACACAGCCAGGTCACCCAGCCACTCCAGCCCGCACCCTGAGGTCACGCCACTGCCCTTTGAGTGATCTCAGCCCTCGTGTTCCTCTTGGCACCGTGGTGTGTTTTTTCTGGCAGATAAATTTTAGACTTAGGACGTTCCATTTTCAATAACTTTTTTTTTGTTTTTGAGACAGGGTCTTACTATGTAGCCTTGGCTGGCCTCAAACTTGCAATTCTCCTGCCTCTACTCCCGAGTGCTGGAATTATAGGCATGCACCACTATGCCTGGCTAGCAGTTGGGTTTTTTCTTCCACAAAAATGGTGAACTTGAGCTTGTAAGCCATTCGTGTGATTTCTGAATATACGGAAGTTCAGAAAGCCTCTGCAAATATGTTCTCTCCTAATTATTTAAAAATTAGAAAGAAAAAAATTGGGAGAAAATACTAAAGAGCATTTGATTTGAAGTAAAGAAGTCCATGCTCTTCAAGCGTTGTGCTGAGCACACGATGGAATTTCCGGGTTTGCCATCAGTCTGTCCTCCTCGTTCTTAAGGGGATTTTATCCAGATGTTTTGTTGTTTTTGGCAAGAAACAGAGCCCACGTCTGCCCTCAGTGATTTGTTTTGTTCAGTCTTGGCTGAACAACTTACTATTTGGCCAGAATTTTTGCATTGCTGCTAATGTGTTTCTTGACAATTGTACAATATTCCTAGCTATCATGAAAATTGCTTAAAATAGAAATATATAAAGTACATTTTAGAGGTACAACTGTAAGGCACCCCGATATGCAGTGCAGAGACACACACTCACCCTGCACACTTTCGTCTATTCAAGCTGAAAGGTAGCACGGTGGCAAAGTGTGAATTCAGCATTTGTACACTTGAAGGAAAAAACTCAAGTTGTGGACGTGTGTTTCCGTTTGCTTCCTACTGTCAGGGGTTAGTGGATGGGAACTATTATCGGTGATGAATAATTTTCCCTTACCTGGGATTCTGGACTGTGTGGGTTCCTAGGAGTAGCATCCAATGAACCCTAAGTGTTTACTTAGGACCTGTCACAAAACACTAAGGGTTGTCTGGGAGGAGGGGATGTGCAGATGTCCTCCGACGTTAATCGAGTTATCATCTTGGCCTTTGTCTAGTGCTCTAGCCAGTACTGTGAGGAGGCATTTGTGTTTTCTGAGATCCGAACATACAAACATGACTGTAGGATTTCCTGTCTGAACCAAGCATGGAGGAGAGCAAGCTGTGAGCCACTCGCTTCCTGAGTGGCCTCATTCCAGCTGTGGTCACAGCACATCTGCCAATCAGAACAGGCCCTGGAGGGGCCCTGGCTGCTGAGGCCTGTTTACACGCATGTGATTCTGTTTTTCCTCCTCCTGAGTGTTGAACCACCAGGAAGATGAGTGGGGGAACTCGTTAATCCATGCCTGGGTGACTCTGAAACCAGCATCGCAGCCTCAGCGAGTGACATTTGGGCAGTTGTAGCTCTTCTTTAGCACAGGTAAGCAGTATGTCTCCTTGTGACAGAAAAATAACTGACTTTTACCCAGCTTCAAACCTTATTCTTGTTCAAAAATTAGCAGACTAAAAGCTGGACAGGAGCGATTTTTTTTTTAATGATTAAAATATAACTGATATTATTGTGACTTTAAATCTCAACAAGTAAAAACCATGGTACTTTTATGTAAGGAAGGGGTAAACCTAGGTTAAGACAAAAATGTTAAAAGGTACAGTAGCACTAAATCAGGAAGAGGGATTAGAACCAGAAACATTAGCAGTGCACACTTGAAGAACATCATATTTTTTTTAAAAATGTTTTATTATAAATCTTTCTACTTGTTAGTTTTCAGAAAACAATGTCTTAGTGTGTACTAACTCTTTGGCTTAAAAAAACATTTCTTTTATTATGAACACATTCAGGAAGAACTGGAGCATCCATTTAACTGTGTAAATCCCATTTCTTTCCCCCTGTATCTCTAGAAGTTTAGAACATGGTCTCAGTACCTCCTACTTTCAGCTCCTCCAGCAACAAAATTAAGGGGAAAAAAGACTTTCTGTCTAATCTTTCCTTTGCCTTTACATTCTATCTTGTTAATGTGCACTCACATTAAGATATTCTAGGGAACTGTATTTGGTAATGTTCCATGGAATTTTCTAAAAATCACATATTATGTTCTCTTGTTAATTTTCCCCCGATACTGGGGCTTTTTCAATTTCATTTATTTTTTATTTTTAAGTATAAACTGGGGAGAGATTGCTAGTCTAATTCAAAACAGACATCCTGGGGGTTTGTGGCTCTCTTGTAAGTGACCGTCTTCAGCTAGATTAACATTTTTATCGCAGTCCAGAGAAACTCTTCTGAAAATTTCAGGCGGTTGTATTCTTATTTCTCACCCTGGAGCAGGATTTCTCACCCTCACACTGTTACACTGTGCTCTTTGGGGAGTTGTGCTGTGCATTGTAGACCATTTAACACCATCTCTGGTCTCTACCCAAGGGAGCCCGTCCCCACTGTGACAGCCCCAGAGTTTGTACATACATGGCACAATTGCACGTAATTATTGGTGAAATGTTGCCTCTGGCTTCTGGCGCGTTCTGGGTGGCAGAGAGTTAAGGATGGGGCTGTGGACAGAGTCTCAGTTTTTCCCCTCCCTCCCTGTTCTGTTAGAAGCTTCTGCCAACCATGATTCATGGAATGATTTTTTTCGAGTTGAGTAATCTGTGGCTTTTCAGTTTCCTTACTTTCCTTCCTTAGCTAAATCTGTTTTGGTTTTTAGCAAAATGTTTTACGCAGCGAAGATCTCTTCAAGTGAAATAAGACGTGGGCCACCTTAAGACGTTTCTCTGCCAGCCCTTCCCGGTGTCCTTTCTCCCTCTCTGTCCTGCAAGTCCTGTCACCTGTGATGAAGACCCCTGTGCTGGGGAAGGCCCCCTGGGATGGCAGCTGGGGTTTGAGCCCTTCTCCTCCATCCTCTGAAACAGCATCAGCATGTAACTGTCTTCTTTCTTTACAGATCGCAACGAACGCAACAAACCAGAGCCTCGTTCTTCCAGGTATGAGTTGATGGGCTTATTCATCCCGCATAAAACTTGTCACATGAAACGCTGGTGGGAGGCCTGCGAGTGTCCACTTTAGGGTCACTGTTATGTTGGACTCTTGTGTCATTAATTTTCCGGATAAAAACCCTCTATAAAGTTACCACCACTGGAAGAGGCATCCCTGGGAGCGTGTCCCCATCAGTGACAGATGCATCTTCACAAAGGTGACTTTATTCCTACCTCCTTCCTTTTCTATCTGCCATTCTTCCCCTCTCTTTAACCACCATTTTTTAAACTGTGGATTGCTGACTTTCTTAAAGAGAAAACTAACATTGTCTCACCATAAAAATGTAGGAAATATTTTTCAAGAACATAAATCGTGAAAAAAAAATCTAGCCTGCCTTCATCCATCAGAGATGGCTGCCATGGTTAAGACTTCGTTGCATTTCTTTCTAGACTTTCAATGTTCTGTAATATATACTAGATATTTATACGTATTCAAATGAATTCTTTTAAGTTCTTGTTGGTGACGTCAAGTGGTCAGGAAGGTTGTACCACTTCGTCTCTTTCCAGCACTGAGGAGTGTTTCTTAAAATTCTTTCAAATTTGTTCAGTTGGAAATTGTCTGACCCTCTCCCAGGTTGGGTATTTTTAAACCCACTTCTATGAAACATTGTAATATTTCTAATACTAATTCTTCCTTATTCTTACCCTTTTTTCCTTGTGTGGTGTGTGTGGGAACTGATTCAATGGTGTAAAGTGACTGGTTGATAAACCAAATCCCGATGCTTCTTCCAGGGATCAAACCCTAGAATGCATTGACCTCAATAGGTGAGAACATAAAATCTCTGAAAACTCTTGTTACTTACAATAGAAATGCACTTTGCTAAGATTGTCCATCAAAGTCAGTCAGTGAGACCTAAATAATATAGCTGGGTATTAGGAATGTTGACTGAGTTTTTTTCAGGTGTAATGTATTTATATTAAAATTAGCTCTTTGGGGCCAGGCCCCAGTGGCTCACACCACTCCTCAGGAAGCAGAAATAAGGAGGATCATAGTTTGAAGTCAGCCAGGTAAATAATTCAAAAGACTCTATCTCGAAAAAACCCATCACAAAAAAGAGCTGGTGCAGTGGCACAAGGTGTGGCCCTGAGTTCAAGCCCTGGTATCGAGGGAAAAAAGTATTCACTATTTTGTGTGTGGGCCTAGTTTTAACCATATATTTAAAACATATATAACTACAATATTTACATATTGTTTTATAGTCACAAAACAGTTTGTAAGATTTAGTTTTTAAATAGTTTTTTTAAGGACCAAAAGAAAAGAAAAGCAACAGAAGAGAGAGGACTTTTCGAGCATGATTAAGTATGGATAATGGAAAGTTGAGAGGGTAAAAGTGAGTTAGGATGATAAAAACAAGGTTCAGAAGACCCTTGACAGACGGAAGGTTGGGATCAATTGAGCAGTGTACATCGAGTGGCTAATGCAAATCCTCACAGAGAAATACCAGTGAGACAGAAGAAGGTGGGGGACGTTTAGTGTAAGCAGTAAGAAAAATCTTGAAGATTCAGCTCTTCACAAATTAACCATTGTGATTGCCTCTACCTCCTCCCAAAAACGATTTGCATTGATTTGGTTACTTTGAAAGAGAAGTTTAGTACCCAGTATAATAAATAAAAGTGGTAGCTTTACGCCACACTTTTTGACCTCCTGTTCTGGGTCCCTGGGCCTTGAAAACCCACAGTCCTGCAGGGCAGTGGCAGCCTTGATATCCCATGGAGCACTTAAAACGCAAGACGAAGCGCCAGGCCCCAGGCCAGAGAGTTCATTCAGTACCTTCGTGTCATCAAGTCCCCAGTGACTGACATGTAGCCAGGTGGGGGACCTCTGGTCTAGAACGTGGCAGCTGAGCTGGCACAGGTGAGGTTAGAGGGGCCCTGGGGACGTCTGAGTCCTAGGAAGACTGGGAGAATTTAGGCTAGATGTGGAAATTTCGGGAGGTGTCTGGGACAGAAATGATAACTGACTTCCAACCCCTCGTGGCTGGCACACAGACACGGGTGGCAGAGTTGCTCCTCGTTCGTGCTGGCCCTACTGAGAGAGCCCCTGGCACTTTGGAGAAACAGCTGATGTCAGGGCTGGGGCAGAGGAGAGCACAAGATGAGCTCGCACTCCTGGTAGGAAATCCAACTAATGGAGTCATGCCAAAAAAAAAAAAAAGACACAAGCGTTAGCTTCAACACGTGGGCCAAATTCGGAGAAATTGGAGTGTCTAAATGAATAAGCCAATTAATCCTAACTACTTGAGAGGTTGAGATTTGAAAGATTGCCATTCTAGACCAGCCCAGGTGCAGGAAGTTATGGAGACCCCATCTCAAACAATCAGCTGGATGTGCTGGTGCGTGTCTGTCATCCCAGCTCGGCGTGTAGCTGTAGGTAGTGGATCATGGTCCAGGCTGGCCTTGGGCAAAACCTAAGACCCTGTCTTCTCAGATGAGAGACACTGACAACCAAATGCAGGATGTGCATTTTAAAAAAAAAATCTAGGATTAAAAATATCCTAAATTTGAAAAGAAATTAGAGGGGCAAGTAGGAAAATTTAAATATGAATTCTATGTTAGATAATATTTGCGAATACTACCCTGTTAGGTATTGTGTAGGGACAGATGCTAAAATATTAAGGATAATATGTATTTGGTGGCACTGGGGTTTGAACTCAGGACCCCACATTTGCTAGGCAGGTGCTTTTCCACTTGCCACTCCACCAGCTCCACTTTGTGTAAGCTGTTTTTGAATTAGGGTCTCGTGAACTATTTGCCCACACTGGCCTCAAACCACGATCCTTCTGATCTCTGCCTCCTGAGTAGCTAGGATTATAGGCGTGAGTCACTGGTGCCCAACGAGAATAATAGGTCTTCTGTTTGCACCCTGCTCCCAAATGGTTCACGGGGAAGAAACAGTCGGATGAAGAAGCAAACCTGGGAAAATGTGAGTGCCTGGTGAATTGCAGAAAGGCTGAAGCACGTGGGCTCTTCAACTTTTCTGTAGACTTGAAGCTTTCAAAGTGGAAGCAGCGGTGGAGGTCGTGCCCTGTGCTCCTGTAAGACCCTGAGGGCAGAACGAGTCTGTAGGGGACGGGAGGGGGAAGAACTTCCTGCCAGAGCTGCTCAGGGATGGCCGGCTGCCTGAGCAGTACTGGTCACACGTCTCCAGCACGGTGCTTACCTGTGGCTAATAAATACTTGGGAGTCCTGGCTCGGGACGGAGTAGAGAGCGGGAGAGAGGTCTCCAGCTCCATGGGGCGCCCTCTTTTGAGCACACTCCTGATCTCTGGATCTCTTTACCCTTCAACATCCAGGTCTTATGGTCCTATTTCAGGCCATGCTGTGGTCCTCTTGAGGGTGTTTTGGGAGAGTATTCTGATTATTCTTTAATTTCTAATTTATACTCTCAAGTTCTATAGGACTGCGCTACAAGTCTTGATAACGCTAGCACTTGGAAGAGTGCCTGGCTCACAAGCAGCACTTGACAAAAAAGTTGCTGGGCATAGTAGGGCATATCTATAACCCCAGCTATTCTGGAGGCCAAGATTGGGAGGATCACAGTTCAAGGCCAACCCAGGCAAAAAGTTAGGGAGACCTACAACTAACAAGCCAGACATGGTGGTTCATGCCTGTAAACCAGCTACAGGGGAGCATAGGTAGAGGAGAATGGTCTGAGGTCAGTCCAAAAGACCCTATCGGAAAAATAACTAAAGCAAGGGACGGGGCGGGGGGTGGGGGTCTCGAATGGTAGAGCTTCTGTTTAGCAAGTGCATGGCCCCTGGGTTCAAACCCCAGTGCCATCAAAACCAAAAACAAGTAACTGTTGAATAGATGAATGGCAACTGTATTTCAGGAGAGCAGGGAAATGTCACTCTTCCCTTTGCATATTGGGAAGAACCAAGTCGCAAAAGCTTGTCAGCTACTGTGATGTTTTTTACAACAGCAGCCAGGGGTGACACCCTACAAGAGAGGAGAAAAGTCTTTTCAAAAGACTGCTGTTTTCCATACAGGGTTTTTGAAGAGCCTGGTAGTCTTCTGCCCCCTCCCCAGGCCAATTAGCGCCTGCTTCATCTGTAGCACAGGGAGCACAACTGTAAACCAAAGTCATGCCATCTTGGGGTGCAGTTTTGGTCCTCAGGCCACTCAGCAGCAAGAATGACAGCTCAAAGCCCAGCACAGATAAGAGAAACACGCTTTTCTGTTTGTGTTTCTACAAGCCAGACATCCCTGTGGCTCTCACGGTGAGAGAAATAGGAAGAGACGCAGCTCTCACAGGGTGACAGAGAAGTTTGACTGGGTGTCGAGCAGCTCTAAGACCCCATGCAGAAAACCACTGCACGCAGTCTACAGGCTTCACTGCTGTCTTTTCATTACTTTGTTTTGGTGTTGATTTTTTTATTTGTTTTTTTCCTGATCTATCAGTGTGGAATTCAGAAATACCTAATACCTCCCTTATTAATGTGAGCATACCGCTACCCAAATGGGTGGCCCACAGGCTTAATCCTAGGGTAAGCAGAATGTCCAGAAATAAATGCTTAGCAGGGGCTGGGGTGGGGGGAAGAGAGGTTAAACTAAACAAGTCCGTGAATTTATGGGGTAAACAAAATTAGACATTTCCTGTGACACAACCTAGACGTTTGATGCTTCCCTAAGTGAGAACCATGCCACACATCAGTTTAAAACTTTATTTGAATTTCTAACTTCCTTTCCCAGACATGGCTATTAATAACATGCAGAAAAAAGTGGCATGAAATAGCAGTTTGGGAAAGTAATTTGATGAAAGCAGGAGCTAAAAAAGATAAAGACAGCTAAGTTCCTTAGTCAGCACGTGAGCAGAAAACTAGAAGCAGTTTTTACCACCCCTCGAGCTTTAAATAATGGATCTCAGTGAGTTATGGGGTCTGAATAACTAGCTACTTCATCTCAAATATTTTATTCACTACAAGGAAATAATTTACCACATTAAAGAA